TTCTGAGTCATTTTTTCGTATTTTGCTTACATTGTTCGATTCTTGTTCCAGGATAGTTTTGACCTTAGCATGACCTTAAGGGTTTATTTTGACCCATGTTAAAAGATGTTATCTGGATGTAAAATTTCCCGCTCTTTCCGATTCCGAGGTCAGAAATAGGGGTTCCCAATAAAAAAATAGACTTCACCTTGAGAAAGCCGTCAAGGTCAAGCTCAAGGTCAATTTCAAAGTCACCCCTAGATGTCCCCCTTGAACCCCTACAACTTTGGTCTGAAACATTTTTGCGTAATTTGCTTGTTTCAAAAGTTATTAGACTGGGGAAATTAAAATGACTCACCCTGTATATAATGATATTTATTATAATTAAATTATTGCATTCATATATTATTTAAATTGTTTACAATAATGCTCGGTATATTCTCATTTTATGATGTGCATGCTGTAACGCGCAGGCGTTCCCATACCGGGTCACTGCCTCGTGTCTGTCAAGTTACTATGCGTACTGACTTTAGGTTGTGTCACTTTATCAACGTGAACACTCCTTAGCAACATGCGTTCTCGAATACTTCTCTCTCTGTCTGATTCGCGCGCACTCTATCTCTCTATCTCTCTTGCTCTGACGCGTGCGCACTCTATCTCTTTATCTCTCTTAATCTTGCGCGTGCGCGGAGTGGTGCCTTTGTCGCGCGCTTTCCTGTCGGCACATGTCTAGCCGGGTGTCATGGCGTCGAACCGTTTATTCAAATGTCGCCCATGACACCGATACTTGTTTCGCCTATAATTCGCGAACTACTATTTGTCACTCACCGAATAGTTATTCTGCTTACCTCTCTAATCTAATCTAAGCACCGTATATGTTTAACAACCTTCTTTAACTCTTTATTTCTCAAAACGAACGCGACAGAAAAACCGCACTTTTCTGTTTATTTTCTCGCACTCTTTATTCGTTCTACTCTCTCTACTTTCTAAAAGGATTCCAGCTATCCATGCTTTTTATTTATTGTTGCATTGTTCAACCTTTATCGCAAGCTCATGTAGCTCCAGCGAGTGACCTCCATTTTGCAACATTTTATTAATTGTATTTTACATACCTCGAAAAATTCCACGTTTTGCTCAGTGGAAGCGTAGCTGAGGCCGATAACCTGTTGGATAGGGAGTATATACAATTAAGCACACAAACTCTAGATTTAGATAGAACACAGATAATATAATTTATTGTTAAGTACAAATCAAAATCAAAAGGCACTCTAAAGAAACGTAAGGTCTTGGCTGCTGATCGTGGCGATAGCTGGAATCGGAATGGGCGCGAAGAGTAAGACTGCCTGTCTTAAGGCACGGCAGATGGCGTTGAGCGCATGCGCACGCACACAAGCAAAATCAACATTTTCTAAAGAACCATCTTTTTTTTTTAATAAAATACGCCTTTCATGACGTTTCGTGTAAAAACCTTGTTGGCGTAATTTTGACATCTGAAAGCAAGAACATTTTTTATAACCCATCTACTGAAAATTCAATAGTAAAAGTTTTGAAAACAGTAAAGTATGTAGTTAATAACTTTGTAAAAACTTGAATTCTAATGTAAAAGAAAACTTATTACCGCCAGTTAACTTCTTTTATTAACTAGGAAAAGATCTGTTACAATTACTACCTGAACATGTTTGTGCAATTTTAGAAGTCACCTTCGTACAAGCAACAATGTAAAAAATAAATAGAATTGTATCAAATATATACATAGCTTAATATTTTTAGAAAGACTTGATAATTCAAAGTAGAAAGAAATGATAATTCAAAAATTCCAATATTATGCCTTCTCTAAAATTTGTTTATCAGCTCAGTTTTGCAGTACAAGTTTGAGTTATTATGTCCGCCAGCTGAATTTTACAGTACAAGATTGAGTTGTAATAATTTTTGAAAACTTATTTCTGAAAAAACCTTCAGAACGCGTATATTACAAATTATATTTTAATGCATTTGTTACGAACATATTCTACATAAAAATTTTATATAACAATTTTGAACAACGTAACAGTAAAGCTGATGAATTAAATCTATTAAGTAGCGATCAAAAATCAATGTAGATATCATATTTTGCAAGTTATGCATTAATTGTAGTTGAAGAAAAGAAAAATATGGTGAATATTTAAAACAAATTTTTTGAAGTTACACACAAGGTTCGACGATTATTTTTACGACTCTACACTGAGAGAAATAAACCTATAAAATTTATTAAAACTGTAGTAAAAATTACTATAAAATATCGTAACGGTCTGACACATCTGCGATATAATAATTTTTACTACAAATTATAGTAAATTTTACTGCTTCAATTTTCACTATACGTTATAGTAAAATTTACTATTTGTGTGATAAATTTTGGCATATCCATGAAGAAATCTTCATTTTTCGGTATGATAAATAACGTTCACGATTATAGCAATATTTACTGGTCAAGGAATTAAATGAAAAAATACAAATTCCATAGGACCGCATTTATATGTATAAATATATGACAATTAAGTACTAAATTTCGAGATTTTTTGATATACAATGTACAGAGTCGCTTTAATCGCCGATCGCCAAATTCGCTAATTATTCAACTACCTATCCTATATAACACGCTTCCTTCTAATACCGAGTTCACTTCGCAAACAATTTTGATGTGCAAGTAGAACTTGGAACCCTTATATATACGAAGTGGCGATAGTTTTCGCCACTCGCGAGAAAGAAGACGCCATCTACTGTTAGACTTGAAATTTACACACCTCAACTGGTTCTGTAAAATTCAAATATAATTTCAACTTTTTATGAGGAAAAAAATAACAAGAAATAACACATTCAATAATAAAATATGTTTATTTTAAATCCAATTTTTTGAAATATAATTAAATCCATCGCATGCCATAACCATGTTAGATAAATAATAGTCGTGAACTTCTTCTTCTTCTACCTTATTCCAATCATAACTATCAAGTGTATAAACTTTAAAGGCATGCAAATGATCATCAAAATAACACTCTCCTAATATTTTTGTTATAAAAGTATGCTTTGAATTCCGTTTGAATATTTCATGAACTTCATGAAAAACAGGACCGGAAGAAGAAGCAGACACAAAAATACTATGTTTTTTTATAAGTTTATCATAAAAAAAAACCATTTTAACGCTTGATAAGTCAAATTCGTTCAATAAGTGTCAGTACTTTTCAAAATCTGGTAATGAATTTCTAGATAATAGTTTAGAATTCCTGGACATGAAAGTCGGGCCAGCCGTTTCTTTGATCATAAATCGATAGCTTAAATCAAGCTGATGCTTAATGGCTATGGTTTTATTAATATTTACACGAGAGGTAGTAGTTTTAGCAACACCTTTGCCTTCTTGATTTTTACTTTCAAAGCGGATACAGCAAAGTTTCCATAGTATACCGAATAACTTCATGCAACGCGGATAGTGCAGAAGGAAATGATGTTTTGGCTTGAATGCATTTGGGTGCTGTGACGCAAGAAGCGATAAATATTCAAAAATAATAACTTCCAAATATTGGTAAGCCGAACGATGTACTTTATTACTGCAAACAAAAACGATTAATTCTCTCAACGACAGGTACAATTGCCAGGTTTCGCATTCTAAGGATACTAATGGACCAATAATTAAATTTATATTCAAAACTAAGTTCAACATTTCAGATGACGTCAAAACTACATATCCAGCCTTTATTGATTTTTCCGATAACTCCGGAGGTTTATTTGTATTATAGCCAAAGCCATAATCAAAACCACGCACTTTTGTATTGTATCTACAGACACAATAGATGTAAACCTAAATTGTATCTACAGACACAATTTAGGTTTACATCTAAAGACAGTAAACCTAGCTCAAAAATATAATAATGAAGAATAACTGCTAGATCATAACGACATACTCCTTCCAGTATGTCGTGCATGATATCGACAGCGATATTCTTACTTGAATGAAAGTGACAAATTTTATGTAAAACGCATTCTTCTAAAATTCCAGATAATTTTGAATCTTTTAGATTTCGCAAACAATCATAATTTGTAACCGTTCGGAGAGTACATTGTTTTTCGAGAAAAATTGTATTTTTTTCATCTTTTTTAATTAGACAATGGTGACAAAATATTGACGCATTAAATCCTTCTGTTAAACCCAGTAACGTATGAAGTCCGAGATTATCACCAATAAATAAAACTAATTCAAAGAATACTTTTTGACGACCGTCCGGCAACTCAATTTCGATTCCCCATGTATTTAAAAAATTTAGTTCTTCTATTGCTCTGGCTAAAATTATTGGATTTTTAAAACATTTTCTATCAAGCGTGTTGAAAAGTAAAAATAAAAAAATATTTTGTACTTTGGCTTGATACTTTAAGGTGGGTCCCTACCTCAAACTCTATTTTTTTTATTTTATGACCAAAATCTTTGAAATTTTAACCACATATTCTACATAAAAAAACAAAAATTTTGATTCCCCCCAGAATTTTTTTCCATGTGTTATACCTATTTTATAAGCATTTTAACCCATTTTTAGACCTTATTTCAAAATGTTCCTTGCGCACTCCAGTTTGACCAAAATTATTGTTCGAGGTCTCATTCTCTTCCTTAAAACTCAGAGAACAAAAGTTACTTACCAAAAAATTTCTTCATCAGTGATATACTTAATTACATCACAAAACATCAATAATACCATAAAAATCTCAAAATTCCCATATTTTTCATCACAACTATTAAGCCACCGTACATCCAATCACATCTCACAATTTTTGGGTAAGTAACTTTTATTACTCATGTTTCAACGAAGAAAATGAGTCCACCCAGACTTATTTTCCTCAAAATCCAATGCGCAAGGAACATTTTGAACACTAAAAAACAATAAGCTGAGCAAAATGCATTTAAAGTTATGAAACACTATTTCACTATCGTAAACTACACCAAGCTATTCTTTAGCTCAATTTATATAATTATGAACATACACCTAACAAATAAATCACTTTTCTGAGAAACCAATACTTTTTATTTGAACTTTTGATCACAGATATTATTTTAAATCATATTTTTGCACTTTTCATAAAATACACAAAGTTCTTCAAACAGTCAATTTTTTTATCACTGATTTAATAAAACATTTTCTCATTAAAATCTTCTTAGCCATTTCAAAATCTGTTTAAAACAACCTCAAATATTGTCTTTTAAAATGTACTGTCTATGTATAAACACACGTATATTTCTAAAATTATATAAAAAGAGCGATAAAAACAATTAAAACAGATAATTAAAGCACTTTATAGAGCAATTAAGCACTGAATCACATCTTATAATCACATTTTATAATCACAGTATTATTTGAAACTATAATTCAAGTGACTATCACATCACTTGTAAGAAATAATTGTTCACTTTGTTTACACTTCAATGAAATTTTCCACTAGCGTAACTCACACCTTCAGATTGCACTTTTGATTTTTCTACATTTTTTTTCTCATACTTGTTATCAATGCGTCTTTTTTTTCTTCAATAGAACTCTTGATGTCACTCTGCCTCTGTCTTTTCAAATCTTGAGAATTGAAAATTTTTATTGCGTTGTCAGTCAAAGCTTGTTTTTTGTATAATTCAGCAGTTTTTAATGCACCTAAGTTGAAATGAGCCACACCCTTAGCAGCAGCAATTTCAATTTTATCTTTTGAAACAAATATTGTTTTTGGACACAACCTCCACACTACTGAATGAAGCCCTTCATTGGCATTCTGAGTTAAACCTTGAGAACAGCCTGCTAACAATTCTGTTTTAGAGAGTCTTTCAAAAATTGGCTTCAACCGTTCATTCACTGTTGAATTTAAGAAAACAGGCATGTTGTTGTGTGTTGGAGGTCGAAGACCAAGAGCAGTTGCTTTATTAAAAAAGCACCAGGACTTTTCACCTGAAAGAAAAATAAAATATTCAAAATTATTTCATGAAGTAGAATAATCTAATTATACTGAAAAATTTATTATATATACCTTTAGGACAAAGCGAATGATCATGTTTTTCATCAGTTGATGAACAATGAGCTAAAGTAGCTAAGACTTCAGTTCTCATTTTCTCTACGTTGTTTTTGTTTCTTTTGATACAACTCAAGTAATAGTTACTCAAATGTTTAATACACTTATCAGTTAAGGCACCTTTTTTATTTCCACCAAGCGTTATTTCTGAAATTAAAAAGATAAGATTTAAATTTCTATCTGCAAAATAATATAATATACATTCTCAATAAAAGTAACTTACTTTGAGCTTTTGCTTTTTTAATTTCTTCATGGAGAGCAGTTGTCATCCTTTTTTTAACGTGATTTACACATTGCTCTCTAACTAATGGAATCCCATTGTAAATGTTTTGCTTTTCCAAATGAATAAATGTCTTTGAATCTCCATCACACAAAATAGTAGTATATCTAAAGTTGCCTTGTGAAATTGTTCTTCGCCACATTATGTCAGCAGCAGCTACTTCCATAGATCCAGATGAACCGTGAAAGTTAATCTACAAAATTTTTTATGAGGTTGATACCAGGAATCATATTCTGGTGAATCAGCTCCCAAATCATTACTAGCTTGCAGGCATTGATGACAATATTTGCTCAAAATTTCATAATCCACTACCAGTCCAGTAATAACATCGATAACAAATGCTATGCCATAATTGGAAACATGCCCTCTTCTATACCAAGTGCCATCGTAAGAAACAGTTAAATTTATTGTATCACCTTTTTTCGAATTGCACAAGTCTTCATGTATTTCTCTTTCTTTCTACTTCTAGCGAGCACTTCTGTTTTTAAAACTCTTGCTTTTTCAATTACTTTTTCTAGGTGAGTATAATAGGTTTTTGAACTCATACAATGCATATCTAATGCAGCAGTAAGTTTTTGCATAGCAGCATGACCAGCTCCTATTTCTGTGAATGCGTCAACTAACTTTTCATTGATATTAAAACTGGAATTATTTTGGCGTGGAGCAGTATACAACTTATTGATGATTTCATCACAATTATTACACACAATGTGAAACTCACTAGCAAAACCAAATCTATTAACAACTTTAAAATGAGCACTAATCTCTTTGCACTTTAAACAAAAATAATTCTTGAATGAACAGCTAAGAATACTCGAATGTACTAAAAAAAATTCATCTTGACTTGTTGGACTGAACACATTAGATTTCATATTTTTCGGCTCATGACTTTTATCATCTGTTACTTTTGTATCTTTTGTATTATTACTTTCAGTTTCATTATTAGGCACTGGATTTCTGTTCTTATTCGCTAAACTATCTTGCACATTGGGTTCATTAAAAAAATTTAATTTTCTCGTACTTGCACTAGCATCTAATGTATTTTCTGTTGGAGTTGCCTTCTTTTTTGTTTTTTTACTATTATTTGCTGCGTCAGCCAATCTTCTTCTTCTTCTACCTTTTACAGGTTTTCTATACTTTTTTGATAATCTGTGCATCTTACCAATTAAAACTTAAAACTAATCAGTATTTGATAATTAATAAATTATACTTATAAATAATTACAACTAATGGCCTGAATCAGGCTCTAAAATTATAATATCACATTGTTGTTTTTGTGCTGTTAGTCATGGAGGTTATATACTGTATATATAGCCTACATGGCTGTAGTCATAGTCCGCCAAGACCTACTCCAAGTTATGTTTACGCATGCGCGTGGAACTCAGACTCGAATCTACACATAAGCTATACAGAATATTGGAACGGACCGTTTGTTTTTTTGTTTATAAAATTTCTTATTTATCAAATGTTTTATAAACATTTTTGTACAATTTTGGAGTACAGAATTACCCTAAATAATAAATTTTGCTCAAATATTGAAATGAAATGTTTAAAATACTAATCATAAACATAAAATATAAAAAACACAAAAAATACAATTTTTACAAAAAAATTTTTTTTAATTATTTATTCATTGATCCTGAAATAAATTTTTTCCTGCATTAGGATTTGGTTTTTCTTATTCTAGAATACACATAGAATACATTTCTGAAATAAAAAAAAAATCGATTTTTTGGTCATTTTTGAGGTAGGGACCCACCTTAAGGGTAGCCCAGGAATACTTATATAGACTGCTCCAGATTTCGATAGACCTTTGTGGCTACCTAACGGATTATTATTTTCATAGTCGTCAAAGTACATAATAAGTGGAAAAACAATTTTCTCTCCAAACGTTTGCATTCGCTCTTTCCAAAAATCTCCCTGAACAAAATTTGTTATAATGTCATCGTTCAATTTCAAATCGTTCAAATAATCGACGGTTTCTTTGAAAATTCCAGGTAATTCAAAAAAATGTTTTAAAACGAATCGTAGTGGTATAAACTGAACATTCACAGGTACGTGCACAAGCATTTGAACATTGTTCACTTTTTTAAACTCAGCTCTTTCGCCTATTCGGACGCTCACTGGTGCAATATAAGTTTGCAATTTTTTATAATGCGAAAAGCGTTTTTGTTCTGGATCAACGGTTTTTAAACATTGTGAAAAATCATTAATTAATTTATTAATATTTATTACTTTGTTAATATTTGAGCTGCTAAGTTCTTTCGCGATTTCTTCTTTCAAATGTCCGGATATATCAGCCAAGAATAGTTTTGTTTTTTCGATTACTTCGTTAACATTTTTTCTGGGTATTTTTTTAAAGCTTGCAATACTTGCACTGTATTTTACAGCTATACTGTTGAGCGATTTATTGAAACTAGAAGGTGTACTCTCTATATAAGATTCTAATTCATCTGAAGACTCATAAGTAAATGATTCATCTGAACTACTACAGTCTTCGTTATTTTCAAAAATTTCGCAAGAATCGAGATTAGATTCAGTTTCGATATATGGTTCATTATCATTGCAAATCAATTCCTCATCATTATCAGTATTCGTTATAAATTCTTTGTGTTTACTACGCATGTGCTTATAAAATGAATTAAAATTTGAATATAGCCTACTGCAGTTTTTGGAAAGGCAAGCAAAATTATTGGAGTTGTTATGATAAGTTGAAAAATGTTCAAATAAAAGTTTGCCATTGTTAAGAGACAAATCGCAATGAGTACAACGTAATGTTTCCATGTTGAGAATATCTTAATATTAAAAATAAATAAACATGCATCCCAACTTTCTAAAAAAAGATATAAAACTAAAGTTGTCTCAATTGACCTACAAGTGCTGTTCCATCGACAGTCACCTCGTCATCTGGCAAATCGATACCCAACAAAACTTTGTGCAAGAAAACCCAAACCGTTCTCGTATACTTTGGGTACTGACAATCTAACGCAAAGAATATTTTCAATGCTAATTCTACAGCTTCAAGTATAGTGTCGACGTCGAAAGTCTGATTATTAACAATAACGTGGTAACCGTTTATACGACTGGCTGGTCCAACTACAACGATAACAGGCTGGAACGTTACTCCATCTTGCCGATATCTTTGCTTCAATTTTTCAAGTCTTGCTTCGATATCATTTGCAGCCTGTAATCAAACAAATTGGTTGAATAAAAATAATGAATGCACGTTAAAATTTTTATGACGCAAAAATATACTTCAACGCGCAGTATGAATGATTCTCGACGTTCTTCAAGAGCTAATTGTTTCGCAGCCTCGGGAGTTGGAAGAGTTGGTGTTGGAGAAGTTGATATTGCATCTTCTTTGCCACGTTTGCGTTTGTTACTTTTGTTATTTTTTTGTCTTTTTGGTTTCAATATATAGCATAGCAAATAAAACAGTATAAAATCTTCCTTTTCTAAAAAAAAATTATTACTTTTCTGACATATTTATAAACATAAACTGGAGAATCAGATAAATAAAAAAGTCTTTAATTGAAATAGCTTCCAACTTTTGCACTACGACTTTTTATTCACTGTAAATGTTACGCTATTTTTATTACATTTTATACATGAAATATAACATCAATATATATACCCTGCTAAAAATGTTCAATTGAAAGTTATTAAAAAATGGTAATTTCTTTTAATCGTGAATTTGTATCCCACATAAGCCAATTGAAAACAATTAAAAATCGCGACACGAAAGCAAGATAATTAAAAATTATTCAAATCGATATAATTGATTAAGATTCAACATTATTACATTCAATAATATTTAAAAGCTTTTAATCTCAAATTTTCTTATAAAATTAATTATATTTAATAAATTTCAATGAATAATTATTGTGGCAATGTTAAATTTATTTTAATCGCATATTCCGGTATACATATTCACGATTAAAAATTATTTGAATTTATATACTATTTTCAAATAATATTCAATACCATTTAATCATGATAATGGTATTGAATATTATTTAATTATCGTATCAAATAATATTCAATACCATTTAATAGAAAAAAAGACCAATTATTAATCATTTTTAATAATTGTAAAAACCTTAAATACCTATTAAGGTGAATCATTTTTAATTATTTTGAATATTGATATTTCAATATACTGGAATTCATTTTAATAATATTGAATCTATTTTTATAAAAAATCCTTTTAAATAAAATTAGGAGAAAATAAAAGACGAAAAACCAGTTTATACATTTATTGAATATTTATGCGTACATGTTTTTAATAAATACTTATAATTAATAAATACTTGTGATAAATTAGTAATAATAATAATAAAAGTGCTTATAAAAAATGTTAGATAATCATAATGAATTAAATAGTGCTCACAAAAATTTTTAAGAATTACTCATCATTTTCACTCGAAGAGTGTAATAACGTATCATCGAATATATCGTTACATTCTAAAGGATCATCTATTTCATTGCTTGGTTCGATACAATCATCAAAATCTTCAGCATCATTTTCTGATTTTTTCTTGATAATTTTTGTCCTTTTTGGTTTTTTTAAATAAGCTATTTTATTGTTGCGTAATCCCGAAAACTTGCAATTTCTACAGATCGATTATATTTCTTCTTTTGAGAATTAGTAAGTTGTTTTTCATAATAAATTTCTAGCCAATAGCCGAAGTAATCTACAAAAAAATCAAAATTATTTATTTATTTATTTTAATGGGTTAAAGGGATCAAGCCCTTTACATAATTATTATATACATGTTAACGGTACGGAATTAAATCAATAATAGTACGTTGTAGACGGCTTAAATACAAATGAAGAAAATATGAAAATTGCCAATTACAATTGATTATTGATATTTCTAGTTGTATAGATATAATAAGTAAATTTAGTTAACTATATTAATATTTAAGTGGAAAATAAATGAAAATTATTATATTAGTAATTTTGATCTTAGGAGTCAAAAATTGGATTAATATTATATTCTTCTTTCAGAAAAACCAAGCATTGTGTCTCCAAATCATCCATGACTAGGTCTGCAAATAATGCTGATAGTGGGTCTCCCATCGAAGTTCCAAATATCTGCTTATAATTTGTATTATTGAAACAAAAATATGCATTGTTGAAAAGAAAATTGATAGTTGTTATGATTTCGTCAAACATCATCAACGATTTTCTATGTAATTTTTGGAACCTCTTGTATATGCTATTAAGAATTAAATATCTAGGTATACTTGTAAATAATGAAACTACGTCGAAAGACACCAGTATGTGGTCCGATGGGATGTGAATGTTTTTGATACGTTCTTTCAATTCATAACTATTTTTAATGTGTGATCTAGGCAAGTCTATGGATTCTTTAAGAACTTTACTAATTAATTTTGATAGGAAATGCGTGGGAGTGTTAACTGTAGATACTACGGGTAGTATCTACAGTTACAGTTATAATAATATAGTTATAATAATATATATATTCAACAGATGTACTGAGGTGGCAATAAATAAAATTGCGAAACGTTTATAATAAAATAAGTGTTTAGTTTATTTATAGGGACGACTCCTAAGATCAAGATTACTAATATAATTATCAAACATCAGGAGTGGAAAAAATTAACAATAATTTAAATGAAAATTATAATAATTTAAATATTTTTAACGTATTTTATATTATTGTTAATACAGGTAACAGTATACCTTGACAGGCTAGCAGTAATTTAGCATCTAATTTTTCCAGCTTTTCCGGATCCTGATTTTCTTCTTCCGTGTCGTCTTCATTTTCTCCTTTCTTAGTCTTAATTTTTCCTATTCTTCTATTACTTATCCGGCCAGTAATGCTACTCTTCATCAAGACCGTGGGTCCAAATACTCCCAACAATAAATTCCCTACGAAAGTAGCAGGGCTCTGAGAAGATACCACAGTATCATTAATAGTGCCTGCTAAAAATTTATTTTGACCCATATGGACCTGTAAATGAATTAGAAATTTTAATTAGAAATAATAATTGGACACGAGAACATTAGATAATAATAGTAATAATAATATATACACTTACACTACCATCTTGTTCAGTGAACCCAATTGGCAAACTTGATAGTTTGGGATCAACAGCATTATTACTGCTCAATGAAGCACAAACTTTATTTTGTTGGTCTACCAACACTAGAAAATTAAAAAAGTTAATTACTGATTAATAAAAAACTAATTATTTAATCAATAGCCAAATAAAATTATAAAAAACACACACTAAA